AAGCTACCTCGTAGACCTCCTTAGTGAAAATCAAGTTTTTTATCTTGTTAACGTGTCCATGTGGTGTTTTTTTTATATGCTGATGGGCAAAATAAACAGTTAACATCATGGCTGAGCATTTCTGCCATGAAACTAAAGTGTGAAAATGTGTCACATGGAGTAGTTTTACCATGGACTGTACACATGTACATACTGTCCAGACTGTAAATAAAAAAATTGAGGGCTCGATCTGACGGAGAACTCAAGCAGCCCCGTTCTAAAACATACTTTATCTTCTGTTTCGCCTCTAATTAGGTTAATATTTTACAAAATTAACCTAAAGCTGTATTCAGAAAGTCTTCAGACAACCTCATTTGGAAAAAAAAAAAGTGAAGATGTGAGAAGCAGGATCATTTTCTTATAATCAGACTTCTTCTTGCTACCAGAGGAGTCGCCCCCCTGCTGGCTGTTTTAGAGAATGCAGGCTTCTGGCCTCACTTTTCGCACGTTTTATGTAGAGATTAGAAGTTTTACGGTGTTTGAGCAGCGGCTCGGGTGAGCTGGTGTGCTTGAGCTGCCTTGAGTGAGGTGGGTGGAGCGGGACGGGGACTGTAGAGTTACCTGGAAGCTGTTTTAAGGCCTTTTTCTGTGTAACTGTAACACACAGAAATTGGTTTTCAGGGATGTGATCAGCGACATGAGAGGAGCTTTGAGTATAAGTTACCTTTATAGGATGCAACAAATTCTAATGGATGTATCAAGGTCAATCTGATTGTGATTGTAAACCACATTTTTCATGACAGAAATTTTTTGTTCTTGTTGTTAACCATATTTATAAAATCTGACAGTCGTCATCAGTGGCCACTAAAGCGAATGGGGAGAGGCTTAACTTCACATTTTATGCTAAAATTGTGCCAAAATGCCACCCTGCTCGATTACCTTCCTCCACTGTGTTTGTTTTTTGGCTTGTTTGCAGCATTGATAAGAAAGAAGAAGTTTTTATTGCATCATAGATATTATTTTTTCCCCTTTTTGCGAGAAGCATTTTTAATCGATGCACTTGTTTCTTCAGTAGCACAACACAGCTTCTTTTTTTTTCTTCACAATCCTAAAATAATATGAGTTAAGTAGCTGCTTTTTTTTGCTTAAATGGCCACATCAAGCGCCCGTTGTAGGCAGCACCGCAGCATAAAGCCTATCATTAAAAAAGAAAAGGTGAAAACACTTAAATTAAATGATGCTAATTGTGCCGTTGTGCATCAGACGCTGGCCGAACTTTTCGGTTCCACAGAGCAGAATTTTACCAGAATCTGTGACCTTCAGGATGCGTCTCAGGACTCCGGTCTGTGTAATTGAGAGGAGAAAGTAACTACGAAGAGAAGTTGTGTAGCAATATTGACAAAATGTCACCTCAGAAATTAGAGGCGCCTAACAGCTTCTATTGCACTCTTCTCCTTTGTGCAAAGAGCAGGTCTGCACTGGCAGCTTTCAGCACAGCAGACGACTATTATTGGTCCTTTCCACCATTAGCAACAGAGAAACTTCAAGAGTTAAGTGGAACAAGGGTGTATTTTACAGGAACCCCGGCTCCTGGTTTTTACTGTACATAATATTTTTCTTGGAATTCATTTCCACTGACAGTCTGTTCTACGTATGCAAGCCTCTAAAGTGGTTTTAGCTGTGCTGCGTAGCGTCCTGGATTGGGCTATTTCAATGCTGTTTGTTGGTTTTTTTTCATAGCTGAATCTGACAGAGCTACAGGAAAGCCCCAAAATTACCCCATATTTCACATACTTCACAATATGTCTGCAGGCACCTGTGAATTGTAGCAAATTGATTTTCTGTCACTCATAAGACTGATGTTTATTTTGAAGGCGACCTCTCTGGAATACACCGCGTTTTAGCATAGTGTGAAATCTAATTATTTAGCATCCTGTCAGGTCTCGTCTCGGGGTACACAATATGACGAGCCAAAACATGCGTTCGCTTGTCACGTGTCTCTCCGTCTCCCCCTCGTCTCCCTCTCAGTGGTGTCAGGGATATTCCAGAGACTTGACATCCATGGCAGATGCATGGTGGCACCTCAGCCGCGAGGGCCGACTGGAAACCTCGGCAGCTGGCCCTCGCTTCTCCAAGGGAGGCTGCATTAGCACAGGGGAACAGCTTTGTTTGCTTCTGGTGCTTTGGCATTGTTTGGAGTTGAATTATGAACTGTGTAAAATTTATGCTAAGCCTGACTTAAGGCGCAAGCCTCTTTAAGGAGCTGTCTCATGTCTCATTGAGCACCTGCAGTGGTCTTAAAACGATTCCTCTCTCTGTCCTCAATTGGCCGTGTTGTTCTTCCTTCTTGAAAAAATTGCTTCACAAAACAATGCAGATTGTCGTGTTGAGAGGCGTCGTCGGCGTTGGGGAAGATCTTTCACACACCATTAGTGATGTACAGTCATGCTGATGTTTAAGAAATTTTACATTAATACTTCCCAGGACGTGTTGTTTGTTGTGAAGTTTCTCCCTAAATTGGGCTGAACAACATGCAAAATAAATCATATTGCCATTTTGATAATGTAATAACTATTTGTCCTGAGGTCAGTCTCATATCCAGACAACATGG